ATTCGGCTAGAGATTGTGGAGAAGTGTTCAGGAGATAAAAGAAAAGAAACTGTCTACTGGTGAGACGAAATGGCGGCGGGGAAAAAAAATAGAGGGTTGCTGTAGGAGAGTTGGTGCCAATTTCGCCAAAAATCGCCAAGTTACCATAATGTAAGATCAACCAAACAGAACATTACAAAAGTATTGATGCGAATATTTTTAATAATTAATACTTCATTTGAATATAACATTTCGTAAGAACTAATACAGTGAAAAAAAATAATGTTTTACACTAAGAATAAGAGATCCGACCGAGTTGTGCAGTTTTGAATTTACTGATAAACACTCGTACATAAACATATTGTTAGACTGAATTATAAACTAAGTATATAATCAGTAAATCCTAAAGAAAAAGAAAAACTAACCAGTAAGCAAAAATATAACATTACATTCAGAATTCTAAAGTTTACAAACTTTCTCGCAAGGCCTGCGGGAAAAAGTGTCAAAGTTCTTGGTCAGACGATGCAAACGAACGCGAACATAATAATATTGTTTTCAACAACAATTACGGTTCAATAATACCAAACAGTGATTAATTTGGAATAATTAGTATAAATATAGTACGGGCATTTAAGGGTGATTTATCAGAGCAAATGACAAAATAAGCTATTAGATCTGCATTTGGATAAATATTTTGCACTTTCACTATGAAACTACGAACACGATATTATTAATAGCTAGCTTAAACATTTAAAACTTACTCACTACATGTAAAGTGCAAAGTGCATGAGAATAATCTGCATAAAATGACAAAAAAATATTTCAAACAGTAATTGTAAACATTTTTCTTACTTACCTGCGCTATACAACCAAACATGCATTAGCCATCAGTTTTTTTCTGCAACTAGCTTTCAAACACTTTTCTCCTGATTGGCTAATTTTCAGTCAGTCACGTGATTCTTTCGCGCGGTTTGTGAAACATTATCTGTAATGTTACAGGCAAATCTGCTGTACCCGCCACAGTTTGCTTTCAACCTGTTACCATTACAGGAAATTCTTGTGTAACTTTTTGATTTCTGTAACTTTACAAAACTTTTGCCTGTAAAGAGCGAACTTTTTTTTTTACCGTGCATCAGAAAATATAAGGATTTTTTACACCATCACGTTACGGCCAACCTATACAACAACTGCACCTTCCGAGAGCGAAGGCAACTCTTATGTTTAATGTGGTTGGTTAAAATTATTTGATTATATTTGGGTTTTAAATATTGTTTCAATATTATATTCAGTATTAAAGATTTTTAACAAAAATAATGCATTCCTGGGTGAGTAAATGTCATTTTTAATGGGACGAAAAACGTATAAGCTGTTTTATTTTATTTTGTGACATGTTTCATATTTCGATAAATGCCTTTTTTGTTGAAATAAAGTAAGTTATTCAAAGAAAAATCTATATATATATTATCCGTTTTTGCCTCTTTATTATTGAAAGGGCACATGACACAAAATTAAAAATTGCCTAGAAATTTTAAAATAAGAGTTAACATTGTGAAAAATGCCTACAGTGTCTTTTTGACTACTTCTTTTTATCTGGAGATCGAAATATGTGGTAACTTTATTCTGTAAAATGTTGGAAGGTTTTTTTTTTTTTTTTTTTTTTTTTTTTTTTTTTTTTTTTTTTTTTTATTGCCCGGTGTAAAATTTGCAAAAATGGGCATGTGCTCTTTCAACAATAATCGATTCAAATACAGAATGAGGCATATATTGTTACACAACGTAGAATTTATCCAAATACGGTAAAGCATACGAGGGCTATCTGCTTAAAGGAAGAAATGCCTTTACGGAAGATATTCAGTAATCTTCGCAGAAAGCATGAACGTCCACTACAAAGCTCCAAGGTAGTCGTATGGGCTACTATGCCTACTAGTGGCGTTATCGTACCGCACATTTTGAGGACCAAAATGAAAACGCATTTACTGTTAATACCCGGCTATATTGGGCAATGTGGGAGATTTTCTTGCAACATCTCTAATACAGTCCCAAGAATTTTTAATTTAGAAACTTGGTTTCACTAAGATGGTGCCACATGTCACACATCAAACCAGGCAGTAGAAGCAATTATTTTACAAATATGTGATTTCAAGAAGAGGAAATACTATTAACTGGCCCTCCAGGAGCCCCGACTTATCGCCTCTTGATTATTTCCGGAAGGGTTTTACCTTAAACGTAAGATCTAAGAGAATAATACAGCTGATAGAAATCAATTAGAGGCAAATATCGAGGCGTAAATAAGATTGATTTCAAGGGAAATGTGCGGACGCGTTATCAATAATCTTCGTTCTTGATTTGAAGAGTGCATACAATACAACGGACATTATTTGTATAATATTGTTTTCGGCTCATAAATTTCCTTTAGACTTTCGTACATAAATGATCAGAGAAATTTTAGGTTATTATATTGTTGTTTATACATAAATCATAGTACTGATAACCTTTCTGATCACATGATATTAAGATCGAATCTAACTCTAACTGAATTTAAAATTCTACTTGATATACTTGTTTAATCAAGTACGGCAATCATGAGAAAACACCTCATCAGAGATGGTTTCGGGAAGGACATTCTAAAGAGAACTGGTCACATTCCTGTTACACACAGAGAAAAACACTCATGCTGCCAGCCAGGGTTCGAATCCGTCTTGAAGACTACTGTTGAGCATTCTCGCCAACGCAATCACTGATGAGCCATTGAAGGATAATCCAATAACTAAAAATTTTTTTTCTTGTTTAAACAATGCTAATATTAATTACTTTTTAGGAGTATATTACAATGGGTGTATTCCAACTGCGCGAATGAAAATCTCCCCGTCCTGGTATAGTCCAACTGCGCGAATCAAAATTTCTCTCCCCCCCCCGTTTCCTACAGGGTTTCAATTTTACTTTTCGAAGCCAATTGTAGCTAAGAGGAAAATAAAAATAAAGAAATAGAATTACATATAACAGTCACAAGAATAAGTAAAGAATATTTAACAAGCAGGCTAATTACTTGAATAACAGTTATAAATGCGAGAGCTAACAAAGAAAATGAAAGGTATTAGTAAACATACATATTAGCATTACAAACATCTTTCATTAATTACAATGTTAGAGGAAAGAGTATTACAATAATATCATGAATCAAATAATTTTAAAGCATACCAATGATATTTTTTATAAATTACATCTATAATAGTCAAGATGTCTGAACTAGACTGCAAAATTTAATATAGTTAACTGGCGTGCAAAAGATTATTCCGTATCAAAGTGTATTAAAGTGTGTTAGAAATATTCTTTGTTAATTAAAGTAATCATGTAAATATTTCCAGAAATTAATAGTTAAATTAAAAAAAAAGCTTAGCATGAAATCGATTATAACATTATTATGCGTTTGGAACTCTGACGTATAAACTGTAAATAAATTAAAATTATTATGCTAAGAAGTTTTTTCTAAAATTTATCTAGAAGAAAAGAATCAGATAAACAGTACTGCAAATTAATATAATCAATCAGGCCTTTGTTAATATTTATCTAGACAAGAAAATTGTTTAAGGTGCGCTACAAATCCGATATTTGATAGGTTGATTATGTAAGTTGTGGTATGTCATTAACCTATCAATTTAAATATTCAAAACTGATGTATATATCAGCGACTAAAATCTACAACTTGGAAAGATCTTAATTCATACAGAGAATAAAAAGGATCTGGCTCATCATTCTTTTAAGCATCATAGAACTTTAAAATGAGTGTAAAAGAAACTCATTTTTACAGACGCCAGACTTTAAATTAATATTTGTTTTGTATGCACAATTTTTTACAATACTGATAAAAGAAAACAGAGGCTTGCAGTCAATAAAATGAACCATTAATGACGATAAATGACTTTTTGTGGCACCCTATCTTCTTAAGAATTGAAGTTGTTAGAAAGAGAGAACAGGAAAAAAGTCGCAGTTCGTCTATTAAATAAGAGGGGGAAGGGGATCTTCGATCAAATTTCGCGCAGTTCGTACACTACGATTACAATTATGAAATTATTTGATGAGTACAAAAGTTCATGACTAGAAATGACTTGAAAATAGAACGAAAAGAGTAATATCTTAAGAAAATGGGTTTTCTTTATATGTGGTATTAGCCAACGTCATTTTCTATTTTACCTATTTTATTAATTTAATTAATTTTAATTCTAAAATTAAATTAAATTAATTTTAAATTAATTTTAATTTCTTCGCAGGTTTTCCAAAGTGGGGTTTATTGCCAAAATTACAGTCGTTATTTCGAAATCTACCGAACCACTATTTTACTGTGCTAAAACCAAACACATATTCTATATAAATTTGAAAATGAATTTTGTTGTGGTTGGGTCAGATCAGATCCGACTGAAGTAGTGGGTATAGTCCTTCTGAAACTGATATAACAGAACATTGCTCAAATTGCAACTTCCAGTTCTCTGTTTTGACATATGCCTCAGCAGATCAACATTATCTATCTCTGAAAAGAACTCAACATTTCATACCTATCTTTGGTAGAGCAAGTGATCATGAAATATCCACTAATGTTAAGTTGTTAGAAAGAGAGAACAGGAAAATGTCGCGCAGTTCGTCTATTAAATAAGAGGGGAGATATCTTCGTTACTTATGAATAAGGGCACGGAATTTTGTATCCATCTAATAAAAACGTGGATGAAGAGGATGCGTGATCTCTTCGTAAAAGAAAAATAAAGAACTAAATTTAAAAAAAAATCTGATATTTTCATACATTTTATAACATTACATATGTAATCAATTTCATGCAAATAATTGCTTGTTATTCTTTGTCTAACTTAATGAATCATTAATTAATGTCTTTTATTAAGTAAAATTTGTTGATTTTTATTAAATAAATTAACGAAATTATTTCCAGTTTCACTAACTATGATCATATTTGAAATAAATTTTATTTAATTAGAAAAATGATTTAGTCATTAATTAACACTTTTTATTTTTAGAGGCACAGCGAAGCACGAAAATGGTAAAAGAAATGAGGTATGCCCTTTTAAATTTAAGTCTGGCTTTATTTCCGAAATCGTGTAAAAGCATGAGTCTAGAGGAAGAATTTGAAGAACATGTGTTTGAAGCACTTTGTGAGCAGGTACACACAATTTTTGACGTAGAATTTTGCGTTAAAAAAACTTGTGAAATTTTCATATCAAAATATGAAATGTCGAATACATCGACATTTAAATTATGTCACTTTAGAGGTAAGAATGTTATCTAAGTAAGTTGTATATTATTTTAAACTCATCGAAATAATAACATAATTCGTCACCTTGGCTTCATCTTAAATACTTCTCCAACATCTGCTTGCCATCCCAAACAGAAGTGGTGAGTATAGAAGCAAACCTTCAGGTCCTGAAATTATATCTTTTAATAGAAATAATAGGTAAGTATCCCTGTTCGTGGGTGATGAGATCCTGCATCCAAATTTTTGTCTCCAAATCACTCATGTGAAAGGAAACAATGAGATATTTAATCATTCTTGCTAACTGTAATGAAGAACTAATTTATACATTTCAAAATCACGGTTACAAAATACAGATTACAAATGGCCAAATAAAACATATATCCAGACGTTATTGTCAACTAAATTAGGAGTAAAAGTTAGAGTTACCATTATATTCACCAGATTTAGCTTTATTTATAACACGACGCAAAGAACTAATAATCTCATAAACATATTAAGTATTATAGGTATATCTAATGAAGAACCAAAATTAGCTTTCTCTAAATAATACTCATATTTAACGCCATCTAATTTCATGAGAGTTGGCTTCTCCGTTTTTTGATGACATGAGAGGATCCACAACTGTAAACGCAGCTGCTGTGAAGCTTTTGATGAAGCTCTTTCAGTAGCCAACTCTCATAGATTTCTTATCTTTTTCAATTCTGTTACAATCGCTGTTTCTTTTCTTTTCTTTTTCTGCTAAATCTCTTATTTTCGAGCTGGTGATAAAAAAAGTAGTGAAGCTGCATGCCTTATGAACTAATGACAGCACTGAATGGAATTTAATATTTAAATATGATTTTCATAAACATATCTTTAACATACAAACTTTACTTTGAAATAAGTAAAATTTATTAATAAATTTTACTTATTAATTAAAAATTTATTACTTTGAAATAAGTCTAATTCGAGACTACAGGATAGCCAAGGGAAAAACCCTAAAAAGGAGTTCTTGAAGGAAACATCTGATTGCTGCCCTTACAGTTTCTTTGTCTTCTGGGAGCACTCACTGCTTTCGGGTAAACATGCTAACTGTAGCTAATATTTTTAAATAAAATTCTTTAATAAAAGAAAACTCCGCAACTTAAGCAGTGTTTTCGTGGAGAACTTTCCGAGACTATGGTTATCAACTTGCTAAACGCTGTAAAATGTTTGGAGGCACGCCAAGAAAGCTGAAAACCCACTAAATCTCATACTATAACTATCAAAATAACAACACTGATTCAGATTAATTTCTCATGTTAATTGTCTTAAAATTAATGTAATTTCTCATGTTAATTAACTTAAAAATTAATGATTAAGAAATTCAATTTTAGGTAAACCTGAACAGTAATAAGCTATGAAAAAGTAGACAAATGCAACGGTCTCACTAATTACACAAAAAAATGCTTACAAGATTTTTTAAATTAAGTAAGTTCCTTTTTGGGCGTATTTATTAACGTAAGTAATATGTAAATACAAAATTTAGCAAAAAGTTTTAATTTCATTGTTATATTTTAATTTTATTAACCCATATAAGGAATTCTTCAACTACATATGCACTTCTAAAAGACATACAACTCATAAAAGTTTTCGAATGACCGTTCTATAGAAAAATGGCTTATACTTACATAAATAGGAGAGAAAATGTTTCCTCAAATTGACTTTAATATTAAATGAAACTATTCGATATAATTTTCTTATGTTTTAAAAAAAATGGAAGTCAGACACTTGAAAATAATGAAGCAAATTATCACATAAAATTCTTTGATAATCACTGAGTTACTGCTGTATAGAATTCAGCAGGTGATCTGTTACCCAGATATTATTTATATTCGAGTTAAAATCCCTGACGAAACACTTTAATGAGGGTTGTGATCACAATTCGGTTTACAAATATTATGAATGCATACGTAAAGTGCTATTTCATGTGAATGCCAACTTTGCTAAAAGAAATGATAGATCAAATACACTGACTACCAATAAATATTTGGACACCTATGCAAAATGACGATATCTGCGGTCCTAAGGTACGTCACGGACTCCGCCGGTATATATCGTGTAGGAAACAGCATCGGCTTTAGTCGCATGCAAGATGCCTCGCAGTTCGGAGCTCTCTGATTTCGAGAAAGGTATAATTATCGGGTATCACAAATGTGGCAGATCCTTAAGGGACATATCTAGCGATCTGAAGTACCCAAAATCGACAGTGGCATATGTGATTAAGAAGTGGAAGGTGAGCGGTGATTGTCGGAATGTGCCCCGAGTCGGCAGACCAACGAAACTGGGAGATAGAGACCGACGAGTGTTGTCCAGAGAAATTCGGAAGAACCGCACCCAAACGATGGTCCTCATACACAAGGAGTTTCAACATGCATCCGGGAGTATTGTTTCAATGAATACCATCCGTATGGAAGAACATCTGCTTGGATTTCATGGTCGTGCTGCTGCCCATAAGCCTTTGATCACAAAGTCCAACCGCGCTGCTCGGTTAATGTGGTGGAAAGCACATCGAAATTGGACCGTAGATCAGTGGAAACGGGTTCTTTGGAGTGACGGATCAAGGTTCACCCTTTACCGTTCGGATGGCAGGGTCTGGGTCTGGCGTCTACCTGGAGAACGTCTCCCGCCAGAACGCATTGTGCCAACAGTCAAGTTCGGCGGAGGTGGAATTATGGTCTGGGGGTGTTTCTCTGGTATGGGCTGGGACCCATGGTCCCCATTCATAGTAAGCTCAACTCTGATGCCTACTGCACTATTTTAGATGACAATGTGCTTCCTACGTTGTGGCAGTTTTACGGGTTGGACCCCTGTTACTTTCAGGACGACAATGCCAGTTGTCATGTTTCGACGTTAACCAAGACTTGGTATGGTGCCAATGGAGTTCATCAAATGGACTGGCCTACCCAGAGTCCAGACCTGAACCCTATCGAGAACCTCTGGGACGAGTTGCATCGCCGAATTCAGGGGTGCACTACCCGTGCAAAATCGGTGAAGAAACTTCTATGTCTTCTCCAAGCCGAATGGAAGATACCACTAGCTGTCATACAAAGACTTCTGGAAAGTATGCCCCGGAGGGTCCACGCTGTAATTACCTCTCGTGGAGGCTCTACCAAGTATTGATTTTGAATAAAGTTAGTTTTTCTTTTCTATCACAGGTGTCCAAATACTTATTGGTAGTCAGTGTATGACCAACGTTTGACGATGGCCTCAGGTCAAACTGGAATGACAGGATGAAATCCTTTAAAGATATATATGAACATTACGTCTTCTTAAAAGAAAAAAAGCGATTGCTGCCATGATCTAGCATGAAAATGTAAAAACTTACATAATATAATGCTTCTAAAACTTTTGGGTTAATTGATTGATTCGATAATTTATTATTTTTAGAATTTTGTTTTTGTTGTTAGTTAAATGATCAGTTGGAAAATAGTCATATTTACTTAATAAGGATTAATTCATTTTAATTTAATCACAAATTATTAACTCAGGGTAATGTTAGAAACATTATATACGAATTATGTTAAGAAAAGTTTACATTTTTCTAACATGATTTTTGAATTCTGACGGAACTTCATCCCTGATGAAATCAATGAAAATTGTGAGGAATTCTTTCAAACGTCAGGAATATAATCTGGGGCGAACTATTAGTGTTTTGCAATTTTAGACTCAGGCAGTGATGTGCTTCAGTTTTAAATGAAAATTAGTCATCCGATCACGTCATTAAAAAACTGTCTTCAAACTGTGTTTTGCAGAATTTTCGGATGATTACTTTAAAGATTCTGCATCTCAAAGTTAAAATTTGGAAGAAATTTTTAATATAATGTGGACCGCAAAACTAATCATATAAAATAATTATTTAAATATTTTATTATTTCTGTTATTATTACTAACTAAAATACTATGAAAGAGTTTTTTTATGACAAATCTCTAATGGAATAATGATTTTCTCTTCATTTCCCCCATGAAACGCTGATATATTTTCGATACTTTTTTTTTTAACATTTGCGTTTCTAAGAATGGTAGGAGTTTTTCAAAACAATAAAAAGTAATTTTAAGGGTTCTGGAAAACATTTGTTTTAGGGATTTCCTAAATCGATAAAATTCGAAGACCACTCGTTTCAAACGTTTCGATGTTAATAAAAACCACCGATTGTCACAAGAACTGAAGTATTTATCACCTCTTAGAAATAACCGTTAATCGTGTATTGAGTACATCAATTAAAAACACATCTGAACTGACACTACTGATGGTCATATCTCTCATTCCCATCCTATAGATTAAAACCGACAGCTTAAGGTTTTTAAAAACCTAATGTATTAAACATAGTTTTTAATAGCGCAGTTCTGAGAAAATAAGCATGATATCCAATAAAGACATTTCGTGGTAAATAATATAGTAAAATAGTTTGTAGACAGCAAAAGCATAAAAATAAAAAAATGCAACAGAAATGTTTGAATAATAATTGCATATCCATTTAATAGCAAATTGCGGTACAAAAGTTTGTCACACATATTCAACAAATGTATCACATTAACGTTTGTTTGGATAGACAACTAAAATTAAAAATTTATTTAATATGATGGAATTTTGAAACATATTTTAGAAATATCTAGAATATGTTATTTTAATAAATATAATGTTATAAATACAATAATAATACAGTATCCGAGTTACTGAATTTAACAATATAATTTAAGCATTCATCAGATTTGACAAACTCATTTACAAAGCAAATAATATGTTTTCAAAAATAATGATTATTGCAAAACTTTTACTGCAAAACTACTTTGCTCCTAAAACTACTTAAAAAAATATCAGCCTTTAATTACACTTTTTTACACTTTGGTGCAAAGTACTTTTATTTTTTAATTTTCATTTATTTTTAGCATCTTTAAAAGATAGGATATTTCTCACTAAAATGTTACACATTTACTTTCAGATAGATATTCATTGCAGAAATTTCTCGATCACAGGTAATTAAGAAATGACTACTGATATATCACATATTAATAGTTCTCATACAATTACATTATGCGTCAACAGAAACAGTGGATGATTCACTAGTTATTGCATAGTCATTCGAAAAGGATAAAAAATATCCACGAGTCGTTCTGTAGTGTCTAATACATTAAATGAAGATAGCAATAAACCGGCTTTCTCATAGAAGAAAATCATCAAATTTTAACCGAATGTCTCATTTTATTGAGAAACGTTTTTAAAGTTAATTTGCTTCGTAAAATATGTAATAGATTGGCAGAATGTACGTAAAAGATGCACAAAAATATGTAAAAGGAATTTTTAAGAGTTTTATAGTTTATTTTTTTTAGTTAGTTTTTGAAACGAATAAGATGGTTATAAATGAGAAAATGCAACCATGAACATCACTAATTTAGGCAAAATATAGCCAAAATGTGTACTAAACTGTTAACTATTAAATATCCAAAAATGGTTCGCTTTATACTTATGCCAAACTGTTGCTACGCAAGCGCTCATGAATACATTCAAATATCAACTCAGGATTAGAAATATAAAGTGTAAATATTATTGATTGGATGTGTCTTGCTTGAATGGCTGTAAAAAGTTGTGTCTTGTGGTTTATAAGTATTTTTTTAATACTTTTAGATCTAAGATACATACTTTGAAGAGTTGTCGGTTATAGGTTCATAATTTTAGATCTGAGATACATACTTTAAAGATTTGTAATCAGAAAAGAATAATAACTCTATGAAAAAATGTATGCTAAAGTTATTGAATAAAACGATAGATTTTTGAAATCTGGAGAAACAAAGGTAAGTTTTGAGGTTAATCGTAATAACGATCAAGGGGAAATTTGCCTCTCGCCTGCGCCAGCATCCGGAGGGTAGGGGAGAGCGAAGAGGTCTACTGGGTAGCCAAAGAAGATTTAAACCTTCCACAGAAAAGGTAAAATCCTTTACTGTTTTAAGCCCCTTATGCGCTTTCATTTCAATAATATGCCAGACGTATTTTGCATAATACATAAAATCTCCTAATATTAAGAGGGATTTGGGATCTTAGCACCTATCATCAACTAACAATTTAATTTAGCAGACTTTTTAAGAGAATCGAAATCTACTGCGTAACAAATGCAGAAGTTATTAAACTCTACCACAGTAAAAATAAGACTTCAGACGCTATTTAGCACTTATTAAATATGAAATATTTCTGTAATAATCAGGTAGCCTGTATGAATATTTAATTACAGGCATTCATGAGCGAAGACGTTTTACATCATTAACGATATAATTATTGTAAGAGCGGCTTTAAGAAAAGAAATTACGTATCATTAATGTATATTTTTTATACGAACATGATTTTAAAATATTTATTCTTTTATCTGTAATATTCTAGTTCAAAGTAAGTGTAGAGATTAAAAAAATAGCGAACACTGTTTTTTTTTTTTTTTTAAATCTGTTATAAGTCGCATGTATCGGCAACTTTCAAAATGAAGAGTGCATCATTTAACCAATAAAATGCCTGATCTAAATCTCCTTCGCACAGATAGGGCAGTCTTGTCCACCTCAGGAGCTGGAAGCCGGATTCTACGAAAACAGACGTGGCTAAGCTTGAAACTTGTTCTTCAAACTTCTTTCCTGTTATGTGAATTTTTTCTGAAGGTTGATGATTCTTTGATCCTGTAGAATAGAAAATATGTAATGAATATAAAATCAATAAAAAATTTCGATACTCATTTTCTGGTTGTAATGATATAAAATAACTTTTGGAAATAACAAAAGAAATAAACACATACGAGAGAAGAACCTAAAAATAACTTTAAAGTTATTTTATTAATGGAACTACTTGAAGTATAGTAGAATTTAACATCTAAAACATATTATTGTTTGCTTACTAAATGCATTAACATGGCAATCAAATCCTCTTATTGTTCACCATTATACAGTAAATCATCCTTCCCCCCTCCACCCCCTCCATGGGTGCTGTCCATGGAGGTAAGAAAGGTCTAACTTCCTACTTCCATGGTGGTGTCACCTGTATAGTGTCCAAGACTCTTTCCAACGACAGGCGCTATCTTGCACTCCTTGCCACGATGAATTTCGTGCGTTTGCTCCGATTTCAGAGACTTGATCTGATGTTACCGTCAATCAGGTGGGATAAGTCACAACAATCACCATACTTCCCCTTTTCGTAATTTTTATTTGACTATGACTTATTTAAAATTTTCTGTTATATAGATGAAAAACTTGAATTTCGAATTACATGTTAATGGATAGAATAACATTTTGAGTACAGTTGTGGAATGTAGAACATGTTGAATAACCGATATTACAAAGCACTACTTATTAAGTAACATCATTTTCAACACTTTCGGCCATGGCTCTATAAAGGGAACCAAAAATGTTTGATATGCAGCAGCTCGGCAGTGGTCGAAAATGATAAAGTATTGCACATACATAAAAACGCATTCTATGCAACAACACTCCATACGTAAATTACCGTAAATACTGTTATGTGTAACAAATATGCATACCACCAGATGCCAAGTACAGTTTTGTAAAACATAAGTAAAAAAAAAAAAAAAAAAAAAAAAAAAAAAAAAAAAAAAAAAAAAAAAAAAAAAAAAAAAAAAAAAAAAAAAAAAAAAAAAAATATGAGTGAAAAAAACAGGAGCAATATGTATAAAATCAAAAAAAAATAATATAAGCGTGTATTAGGTATAATTTTTTTTGTTGTTTAGGACCTCTGATACTATCAAAAAAATGAATGTAGATTACAATTATACTTGAGTCTCTTTATAACCAGAATACTATAACATTAATATATCTCTAAAACCATACAAACCAAATATGAAAGAGCTTTAGAGCCATATAACCCTATCACGTCACTACTTTCGTTTGTTTGGTTTATTTTATTTTTATTTTTTTATTAAACCAAACCGGAGCTATCTGCCTAAGGGAAAGCGCTTCAGAAGACTTTCTGAGAAAAACTAGCCGCGCCCATACATGGGAAAACAACCCAGGCGCCCGCGCCGCCCGGTCCTACAGGCGACCAGCGACTCCAGGCACAGGTCTTTAAACAGTTATGAGCGGCTGAGCTTAAGTATCTCTCCATACCAGAACCATATACGACCATTAGGCACAAGGAAAAATATGTTGGTCGGAATCAATTCCGCACAAAAAAAACTAAAATTTAGTATATTTTAGTCGGAAGCACAATTCCTAAAGCAATCTAATACTAACCAGAAGGTAACACTTTCTTCTTTTCTTTTAATATTTAAACCATAATAATAAATCAGGAATTTGAACAAGGACACAAGACATACAAAAAATACCAAAAGATAAAGAACGACACATAAAGACTAGGACTCATCAAAAGGTTCTAAAATTAAGGATCTTAGTACGTAAATGACAAAATTAGGACAAAATTCTATTAATTTAAGTATTACTACAACTTTAAATGACAATCATTTGAAAGCTTGTAAATTTTTTGCAGGGGATCAAGCAAATGAAATTTGGAAGTGCTAACTTTATGGCAAGTTTTGTAACGAAGTTTGGGAGACATTTGGTGAAACTATAAATTATTGGCAGAGATTTTCATAATTAAGACTTATATTCTACATAGTAAACAATATTTGAGGCAGATTTATTTCAACTTCAAATATTTGAATTATTTTTTCCAGAAAATATCCGAAAAAACCGCGAAATTTTGGTTAAAGAAACTTCAGGACGTACTAACAGTATCTGGATTTTCGTTTCTTTACTCAAGTGAGCTAACCTGCTCTTCAGACCCACCAGCGGCCGTTCGGTCCGGGGTTGGAATCCAGCGAGGGATGGATGGGGATGGACCTTTGACTCTTAATGCAAAAAGGCCCACCAGCGGCCGAGCGGTAAAGTCGCTGGACACTGGTAGTTCGGTCCGAGGTTCTAATCCCGGACTGCTGCATTGGCGTTTTCGTGGGTTTCCCCATGTGTAACGCGGATACGAGCCAATTTCCCTCGAAACGTCTTCCATACCTCCCCTTACGCAGATAGCCCTCGAGTGCTTTGCCATAATTAAACAAACCAATAACATATTCTTCTATACATCTTGCTTATTTCCCAGCGCACTATGTTGTTGCTATTTGGTAAAATGTAAGATCTTTCAGTTAGAATGAATTAATTCAGATATTTAAAATCAATGTACTACCACGGCCTGAACTAAAATACTTTTAACTTAAACTTGGAAGTGTGTTGCCATTCAGTAAGCGTAAGTTATGTAATTATCAAATTTAATTTCTCTGTTATTGATTAACAAATTGAGCGATTTAAAAGCAATTAATGAAGTTAAGAATAATTTTTCTATTTTTTAATCTGATTAATTTAAATAATAATTAGTTTAAATCATTAATATGTAATTTAAGTATTATAATTATTTTTATGAATTAAAGTAGTTGGATTCGTTAAAACATTATATATATATATTTTATAAGAACTATTTTAGGTGGCGGATATAACAAGTAGCTAGTTACAATAAATATAAAAAATTAAAATATAGCTGACACAAATTACTATTAATGTCGGTTGCAATTTAACAGCTATTGAGATAAATGATATAATATGGAAAGCTTGAAAACGCTCCATTAGCAAATAAACAATTCATTCCGCTATATACAGTTCCTACTGCTTTATATAAAACAGATGTCAGTACCGTTTCCTTAATCCCATTCGAGTTCAAAGTGACCGACAATCAGACGACGTATTTTACTGTTTAGTGGCAGACTCTTTCCTGAAACCTCAGCGTTTGGCTTTCAGCGCCCATTAGCCACTTTTTTCTTTTCTTACCTGATTCAACGTACTGATTGAGTGGAAGAACTACAGCTAGAATAAGTAGTCCCGTATCGGGGTTCAATTTGTTCCTAATTTGCTGAAGCAGCGTTATCGGACGGTCGCAGCGATCCAAGAGATTGAGGCAGCTGATGACATCGAAATATCGGGGCCCTTCCTCCAGGTTGTGCCACTTGTCCACGTCCAGTACACTGTCATGGATCAATAGAGTTAGAAGAAATGTGAGACGTTTGATAACGGGTGAACTGTATTACAAAGACATACATTTTGGGTATATGGCCTCATTATAATTCATAATAATAAAAAATATATATTTGAAGTGTCTTAATACAAAAAATACAATAATTTACTGTAATCAAGATGATAATATAGGGAGTTACAGACACTTTTGATTAATTATATCACTGGTTCAAAATTTTTAATATAATATACCTAAAAAAATTTTCTGTAAGCCAAAGTTAATTTTTAAAATTTTCAGATCTAATACTAAAAATTTCTACAGTTAAGTAGTATTTGAACTTAACAATTGGCATGATTTCTTAAAGTAACCTTTTAAAATTTCTGTGACATACTAATATTTATAAATAATTTATTATTCATATTTATAACTAACTGCATTATTAAAAATGTCTCTAACATTGGGAAAAATCAACATTTATATTTTCAAATAATAATGAAATAACTACAGTGTCGCCACGTTTAAAAAAATTGACTACTAATCTATTTTCCATTAGAAAGTATCAAAACATTGTGATTTATATCCTTTTTAAATGTTTCATTTTATAACCTTGATTAACCTTGATCCTTTTATAACTTTCATATGCACTATTACAATTTCATTAACAAATTAAATATTTTACATCAAGTGAATTAGCAAAAGCTGTTATTATTCTTTCATTCCTACTAGCATGTACAGGAGTTCAGAAACATTATACAGTAAGTACAGATATGTTTACAGCAATCTATAGACTCCTCCAAAAGTTGAACTAACCAATGCCAGTTAAAGTTGTTGGTTCTTTCAGGTACTCAAGCAATACTGATAAAAAGTGGTCCTGTAAGCTCCAGATATTAGGCACTTATTATATCGTTATTTATTATTACTGTTTTTTAAATTCATAAACTGAAAGAAACATATCACCATGGATGAATATCTAATATCTATCATGGTGCTTTGTATTAAATTCGACAACAGCAAAAGGGTTAATGGTAATTACTGATGATAGAAATATTTCTTTCTTTTGCCAATATAAGTAACTAGAATTTAGTTAACAAAAGGAATTATGATTTACGTTATACTATATGCCGATAAATATATTTTTAATAGATATCTAAAGCATATTTTTTTCCTTTATATTTTGTTTCTGGTCAAGAACTGTACAAAAGAAAAAATACAAATTTATTCATAGCATTATCTACGTATGACTATCGAAGCTGATTTGGCCTTTTTGGTGACACTTTGGCTTTTATTTTTATACGTTTCGCGTTCGTGTATACGTTATGTTACCATGCATTTATCACCCACGCAACTTGAAAAATATTGCCATTACGCTAAATAAATCTTAACTTCTATTCGGTCTAGAATATATAATTTTCCAGAGTGTCGCTAAGCCGCTTTATTGACATGGTAGGAAAGCCAGCTGTTAAAGCATTGGGCTCGCGTCCGCCTGGAGAAAGCATGGATGTTTGCAAGTGTGTGTTTTTGTGGCATGAGAGCCGTTTAAATACTGTACAGTCAAAAGTTATCTTCAAAGGTTGATGGCAGTGGGAGTGGTCCTTTCTCGCAATTGCAATTGCGTCCAATGCTCGATAATGAAACTACTGAATGACAGATGGGTTATTGTCAGTATTCGAAGT